ATAAAACCAGTGTTTTTTTTCAAAGTAATTTTGGTCCATTCATCATGAAATTTACACACAGTGTAAAGGGCAACAGGCATTTTCAAATTATGTCAAAAACTGAAAAACGACAAAAATGGAGATACGAGGTTTTCTTCCGACAGCAACGAAATTCTAATGGGTTACAGTTATATCTACATAATATAAGTTACTACTGTGCTTCTGAGCTGTTGTAGAACTACACTCAGCAGCAGTGTGGGTAGAAAGTTAAGATGAACGCACAGTGTGAGGTACGCTGGGGGAAAGACAACACGACAAGGGTGAGTAAAACAAGTAAAACAATATGCAAATAGATGATCCCAGGAGCCAATTGGAAAGATGTTGAGTTTTACTCAACAAGATCACACTGACCCAACAAACACCAGCAAAACAAATCTGACAACTAACTTAATTTGAAACAACACAACTAACTCAGTTTCACCGACTGCATTTATTGAAGCCCCTGTCTACTAATTTTCATGACTTTCTTCTGTTATCTAGGCGTATAGTTTTTATACTGGTGTTTTACTACACTCTGCACTTTTAAAAGAGATGGTTCGTAGAGGGTTCTTTAGTAAAGACAGTGGTTTTATAGAACCATGAACACTCTAAGAACCATTTGCATGATTAATCTTCTTTGCACTGTGAAATGGTTCTTCAGATTGACAGAGAATGTGTTGCATATGGTTCTATACAGAACATTTCTGAAAAGGGTTCCATATAGCATACCATATATATTCCATTTTGCTACTGTTACGATGTCAAGCTTGTAACAATAGAAGATCCCTTTTTGGTGCTATATAGAACCGTTGTGTTTATTAAAGAACCCTTCAAGTACCATCTTTTTTAAGAGTGTACATTCTAAAAACTGAACCAACTGGGTGGTTTGACTTACAAACTGAAAGTATGTTGACTTTAAATATATGAACTGTGTCGTTTTTCAGTAACTGGTTTACGTAAAATGGACAAAAATGAAAGTACATTTCAATAAATAAAAGCTGTTTATTTTATATCGAGGTAAACAAAGTCTGCTTATGCTGACTCTATTTGACTGTGTGGCATAATTAAGTTCATACAGTGGTTTATTTTTCTGTGAACTGGCACTGAAAGAATTCAGAAGATTTTTTTAACTGCTTTTTCTGCCATTTTATTCTGTTCGATTTGAGTTGGCGGGACTAAATTTGGTGCAGGTGACGTCACATCTGCCAAAGTACCAGTCAGAGTTAGCAATATGTACACGTCAACTACTTGCGCTCCTCTCCCTCACATAAAGTGAGACGTGAGTCTCTGCAGGACAGAGAAGTGGGTGTACCGAAAGGTCAGTTGGTGTGTCAGTGGTGAAATAGGTGGAACCAGGCACGTAATTTCACAGATTAGAAATTCTGTCTCTATCCCAAAAAGATTCTAGGTTATGTTAACATTAAACAGCCAAATCCTCTTACAGAAATCCTGAATAATGATTAATACCTAAGACCTATCAAGTGGATTATGTGTGTTTACAGTGCCTGCAACCCCTTTCAATTTCTAGAATTTCAGTCACAGTCAAAATTTAAGCAAAATGTTATTTTTTAAGCAGAACACTATTCCTATGATTCTAAACCAGACTTAATTCAAAGCGATCCCTAGTGGTGTCCAGCAAAAATTTACTTGCAGAATCTGTGCAGCTGCTTGTATTGTCCTGTAGGATTATTACAAATTTTCTCCAGTGTGTGTGTGTGTGTATATATATATATGTGTGTGTGTGTGTGTGTGTGTGTGTGTGTGTGTGTATATATATATACACACACTTTCTATTTAACCCTTGTGTAGTTTTCGGGTCTGTGGGGCCCATTTTCAATGTTTACCAAAATAAAAAATGATGCGATTTATTATTATATCAACCTCAGATTGCTTGGCCTTTGTTCATTTTCTGTGAAGAACATATAAAAGAACACATTTTCAGTGACTTCACACTGTAAACCCCCTACACATTTATATTACACATGTGGTGTTGGGAATAAAAGTGTAGAGGCGCTGTGTCCCTTCAATCTGTTCTCCTCCTACATGTATGTTTTTGTATATGTGTGTGTGTGTCAGGGTGGACAACATGGACAGGCTGCTGACTGGCTACAGCTGCTACAGGAAAACCCTACTTGTGATATATTAAACATCTGGTATTTTTACATAATTTGTTAAGGCTGTATTGATTTAAATGTATTTCTGTCGATGTAGAATTCATATGGGAGATTTTTACAAAATGTTGGAGGCTACTCAATATGTAATGAGCTTGAGCATTCAGAAACTTTTCCTGTTTCCTGTTTCTAGCATACGCAGATCTGTTGATTTTGTGTTGGAGCCAGTAGTACTGCTCATGCACTGATCTACTTCTGTATCATTATCCATCCTCACATACTATACAGTTGTACAGTATATTTATATGCTTAAGTAGTATGACATTTCCTGCAGGGGGTCAGGAGTTTAAAGAGTTATCACCTCCCCTCTCCCAGCTTGTACATGCATAAATTACTTATTACTAAACTACATAAACTACTACTTATATGAACAAAAATATGAAGATATGAACAAAAAAGTATTTATTTGTTTGCTCATTAATTTGTTAATTTGTTCTTTCAGCAAAACCAGGTTGCAAAATAAAAGTGCTTATCAGCCTACAGCTTTGCATCTGTCTGTTATTATACTAAATGGAAAACCCCAAGCCTTAAACTGCTGTTTTCAAAAACGTGAATGGCAAATTAAATTCTACAACCTACTTACTATTTTTGTGTTTATGAAAATCGTGAACATTCTGTTTTGAGTTATATTAGTTTACTATGGACAAATGAGTTGAACCTGCTACATAGTAACATAACCACTAATGAGATGCATTCAGGCCTGTCAAGAAACACTATATGTCCAAACATTTGTAGACACTTGCTCATCCAATGTTTATTGTAAAATCAAGAGTATTAAAGGGAAAATTCCACCATTTTTTAAAACTTCTTGATAATTAAATGTTAAGATGTAAAAAAGTCAGAGTGGTTTGATGTGTAATGCTCAATTCTAGAAAAACCTACCAAGTCAATCTGTTGATAGAAACCAGACATCCAGAAGCTCTGAGAAATGATTCACAGAAAGTTAATAACTGACATGGTTATGAAAATGCTGCCTGATGTCTGAGACATTATTTTGCAAAATTTCTGAACTAAGGTTTTGACCCAAAACAAATTTTACAAATCCATTCATGGTGGAGAAGTACATGCAGGAAGTCATAAGGCAAAGCAGTACATAAAAAAATAATCTTTTCATTTTTATCACTATTTTGCCATCATTAACATTACATATAAAACCTCAGAAGACATGTATGTGTTGCAAGTGGTTTCGGATAGCAAATAGCAAATTTGCATTGTAGCCGTTTTGCCCTCTGGTTCCTATGGAGAGGAATTTGTGCCACACTGAAAGCAGTCACTACGGTGGAAAAAAACGTGAAATGCAGTGCACACATGACATTACTTTTCAATAGTGACATGCTCAATACACGCCAAAATGAAAAACAAACCTCTATTTTCATGCTGCTTGACCTCCTTACAGAAAAAAGATGCATGAGGATCTGCATTTAAAAAACAAAATACTGAATTCATGTCAGATTTCAATACAATCTACAATTTACAGTCTACAGTCTACTACAATCTACAATACTCTGCTGTGTTGCTTTACACCGTGCAATACTTTAAACAGATTTTCCTCACTGAAATGCAATCATAACAGTTAAAACAATGCACACATCTTATTACTTTTCCATAGGTGACATCAGGAATATGGGCCAAAATTAAAAGCAAAACCCCTACTACTATGTTTTCACTTCTTTTTTGTACCTCAGATTTATTTGTCTCATTGAATTGCAACCAAAACAGTGAAATGCAATGCATGTGAGATTGCATTTAAACAGTAACATGAAGAAAGATGTCAAGATGAAAAAAGATTCATTATACTGATTTGACATTGTTTAAGGTACTGCACGGTTCAAAGCAACATAGCTGTGCCTTCATCACATTTTAGAGTGGATTGTGTTCAATTCTGGCATGATTTCAGCATTTCGTTTTTAAAATGCAATCAACATGCATTGTTGCAGAGGAGCATGCAGTGTAATAGAGGTTTCGTTTTTCATTTTGGCACGTACACTACAGGTTACTATGGAAAAGTAATGTCAAGTGCGATGCATTTCATGTTCTTCAACTTCAGTGATTGTTTTCATTTTGGTACAAATTTGTCTCCATAGGTTTCTATCACTACCATTGTAAAGAAATCAGAGTCTGTAATTTTCTCTACAATGAACTCGTTCACATCAAACAAACTCTAAATGGCTTTGTTTACATCACAACCACTGAATTATTATTACAGAAATGTGGAATTCCCCTTAAATATAGAGTTTGTCCCCCCTTTGCTGCCGCATCAGCCTCTAATCTTATAGGAAGGCTTTATACTAGGTGTTAAAACATTGCTGTGAGTATTTGATTGCATTCAGCCTCAAGAGCATTAGTGAGGTCATGTACTGAGGTTGGATGATTAGTTCTGTATCACTCCAAATCATCCCAAAGGTACTGGATGAAGCTCCATCACACCAGAGAACACAGTTCCACTGCTTCGCAGCCCAGTGCTGGGGGGTTTATACCCCTCTCGCTGACATTTGGCATCGGACATGGTGACCTTAGGCTTGTGTGCGGCTGCAGTGCGTCCCATTCTATTGGTCACTGCTTTTCTATGCAGATTACGCAGTTGAACGCCTGTGTCAGCAGTGGGTGCACCTTAAATGAGCTCTATTCACTGATCAGAAGGGGTGTCTGAATACTTGTGGACATCTACTGTAAAACAGACTTCCAGCGTGGGCGTAGAGGGCTGCAGCCTCTCCCTCACTCGGCGACAGCAGGCGGCGGAGGGGGCGGGGCCTGTCCGCGCGGAGCCCCCGTGCCCAGCCTCCTCTCCGCGGTAGTAAGGCGGCTTCGCGGGCTGGCCGTGGCCGGAGCAGCATCGCCGAGGGAAGGCAGAGCAGCAGGGGGAGCGCGGCGGCATGTCGGACAGCAGGAAGGCGGACGTCGGTAACAAAGTGACGGTGGTGCTCGGAGCTCAGTGGGGCGATGAGGGCAAAGGGAAGGTGGTGGACCTGCTGGCCCAGGACGCCGACATGGTCTGCAGATGTCAGGTAGCTAATGTTACCCACTAAAGCTGCGGTGGTGTGGACTGGACACCGAATGAATGCCCGGCTGTCTGACATGAACTCGCTGTGTAGCCTAGCTAAGTAGAGATATCTCAGAAGACGTAACCTGCACAGGACAGGAACGTATTTCATAAGAAATGTATTAGCAGTGCGGCTAATGCTGCTGTGAGATGGCTAGCTACCTGTTTTTGCTCGTAAAGCTGGTCAACACGACGCGGAACAGGGAAGAGCTGAAGGCAGATCTCAGCCTCGCTGGTTAAAGTCACCTTGAGGTTTATAGTCGTTGTGTACTGTAGTTTAAGCTAACTGGACACCGTTATATTGATATGCTGGCGAAGGTGGGAAATCTCTGCTCCTCGTTCGTCTTCAAATTAATGACCTGTGCCAGCTGGCTGTCTGTAAATGGGCTGTGTGAGTGAGTCCGTCCCTGTAGTTTACTCTCAAGTTTGTGGTCTCCCCCCCGGGGGCTTGCTGTCTTGGCCCACTTGCTAGCAAGTTCCCTCTTCCACCAGATAAAATGGAGGTAAAATATTTGCGCTCATATTCAAAAATAGGTACTTTACATATTTAAAATCTGTGGGCTGTACTGTCTTCTAAAACCCCAGGAGAAGGACAGGCTAACTATAGCTTGAACTAGGGCTGGGCGATATGGCGAATCAATTATATCACGATACTTCAAAGCATTTTCACGGTACACAATATGCATCACGATATTTCGTTTTTCTGAGATTTAATAAGCTGGATCAGACTAATAGAACCTCTAGTGCCACATATAAAATATAATACAATAACATACCTACAATGACAGTGATTTTTATTCATTGTTTATTTATTATTATTTAGCACGATAACGATAAAATGTCGTCATATTGCCCAGCCCTAGCTTGAAAAGGCATGTGTTTGTATGAGTCACTGTGAAAAGGGCAGAGTAGTGACAATTAAACCGTTTGAAAATAAAGGCAAAACACTTTCAGCCAGATCAGTCAGTCATAGGCGTTCATTTACCCCAATATTCATGTAAGTTTTTAATCACAGTTCCTGGACTAAATTTGAAATGGCAGTTCAGATTAAGTCACATACCCCTCACTTTTTTGATATTGAGAGATAAATTTAGGGGTCACAGTATGGTTGTCAAAAAAAGTTATCAGTTATTATACAGTATAGCTGTTAATTATGATTTAAAACTCTAATTAAGCCCAAAATAGATTTTTGTGTTTCGTTATAGTCGGTAATGACAAAAAGAAAGAAGCAGTAATCTGTCCTGGAAACGTTTTCAAAACTAATTTATGTTCTGTATTATTATTGTGTGTTGATTTGTGCCATAACAGTTATCAATAGTCCTTCCTTTCTTCCTAATTGTCATCATATGTCTCATAATTGGGGTACTTTTGCTATAATATGACAGAACATGCAGTTCAGACTAAGACCTTTTGTGACACAATGGGTAAAACTGGCCATTCTAATAGGAAACAAAACAGAATCTATAAACTGTTTGTGCATGAAATTATTATTCCTGTTAATAATATTATTAGTTTTTATGTTTTAGTATTGACATTTTAGCCAAAAAAGAGATATCAGTATGATAAGTGTAATTGACTTTGTTTATACGGTTTACCTTGTAAGACCAAAACTACACCGCTGGTTTTGACATTGAATAATTATAAATGCATCCAGATTAAATCTGGGGATTGAAGTGGATCAGCGCACACATTCTCTTCAGTGGTTGTTGTGCAGGCATTGCATGTGTTATATCAGTTTGTGAAAGATTCCTGTCATACTTGTTTCAGAAAGTACAGAAAACAATACAATGCAACTAAGCCTGCACTAATGTCAGTGTATGAGGAAGTGACTAATAGCGCAGTGCGAACTGTTTGTCATATGCAGTTATGGCAGGGTTGTTGCTAAAGTGCAGGGTCTAATATAGGTGTTGTGATGCAAATTAAATTTAGCTCTGTTTGTACAGCTGTGGTTCAGAGCCTGAGTGGTTTCTAGTGTTCTTTGCCAAGTGACATGAAACACACATTGGACTCTGTGAATCTTCTTTGAATCTTATATGTTTTTGTTTCTTTGAAGACGAAATATGTGACATTACTGTTCTTATGTATCGCAGTCACTGTAGCCGATCTCCTTGAGTCATGTTTCTGGCTGTAACGTCATCAGCTTTGACGCAAATTTCCACAGGCTTTGTAATTGGCTGTATCAAATCATGTAAGATTTGGGGTTTTGGAGACCTCTTTGGTGCGTCTTATAATGTTGTCCCCATGAGCAGATGAGTTTGCCTTTGAAGATTTTTGAAAGAGAACTCTGTGAAAGTTTAGTGAAGGACGTGTCTTTCTGAGGATGTAAGTGATTATGTACTATTATCATCATATCTTTATCAGTGTAATGTTGAGACCTCAACATCGAGCTGGACCTTCGTTTTGAGTCTGTGCCCGTGACATTAATATGTTAAAAAATGCTACTTCTTTCACTTTGAACCAAAAATCTTACGTAGTGCTGCTTTAAGATTTCTGAGGGATGAAAATGGCGATGGGCAATATGACAGTGTTTTATTTATTGTGATAAATATTTTTATCATGTTACTGCACTCTCCATGTTTTATTATAAAGAGAGCATAAATAGGTTTGTTTTTTATTTGATATAGTGCAGTGCAGGATGTGAAACGCTGAATATTAATGGCTGCTTTTAGATGTTGCACTGCTAGTGTGTTGAGTTTCTGTGTCAAAATATTGTGATGTGTATTGTGTATCGTGAAAATGTCTAGAAGTAATTTTTTAGATCACTGAGTAAAAAATAACTTGCTCAGTTGTTTGATAAACATTTCACAAATATTGCAAACCAAAGGAACATCCCATCTCACAAAGAGTTGCGTACTTCATTTTAGCATGAGAGTTCCACAGTGTGCAGCTGGTAGTATATTGTTTTTAAATGCAATATGAATAGAGATGTGTGTTGCAGTGTGCTTTCTTGAGTACTTGCTGTATGCTACGCTGGTCACACTGGCTGGTGCTGGTGGCAGGTTGAGGGTGGAATTATATTTTGTCACTATTCGTGATGCTGATTTCAGGTTGACAGTGAAACAGTTCTGCTCAGTTCTTCTGCCAAGGCTGGGGCCTTATTAAACATATGCTGTACCTTCGCTGTAAGCCTACTGTTACAGTAGTGCGTGAGAGAGAATGCAGACGTTGTTCTGCTTTTTATAAAAAGGGCTGCACAAGCAGCCTTCATAGATCTATTTCTGACCACGACAAATGGTGCTCAAGTGCTTGGACTGATTGTCACGCTATTGCGCAGGCTCAGATAGTGTAACTGCAAAGTGAAGTAGTAGGGCTGTGTGGAAATATTGTTTGTTAAGTGTTACTGCAATATTGGCATCTTTAATATTGTTATTGTAGAAGGTTGCAATGTGTGTGTGTGTGTGTGTGTGTGTGTGTGTGTGTGTGTATGTATATATATATATATATATATATATATATATATATATATATATATATATATATATATATATAGAGAGAGAGAGAGAGATACTCATATGTATACACACACATTATATATGTATATATATATATATATATGTATATATATATTTATATATACACACACACACACACACACACAAAGGGAGATTCACTCGAAAGAGGCCCTGAATATTCTGTAATAAAGCTTGCTAGGGCAAAGCAATCTGAACGAAACAACGTGCAATGTGCTCCTCAGTGTATGGAGCTTTAAAGTTTTATTTACTATCTGAAATGCCCAATGACCCTAAAGGTGTCTTCTATTTTTATATGTAATGATGATTATAATGATATAGTGATAATAATTTGCCTTACAAAGCCCTACATGCGTTTACAAAAATTAGGCTTTCAGCTACAATCTTATCTCAAAACAATTATATAACAATGTCTCAGGCATCAGGCAACATATTCTGAATGATTTAATGTATTTTCTGTGAGGGAGCTTTTAGAAGCATTTAAACGCTTCGGATGTCGAAGTTTTTCTAGAATGAAGCATTTTACATCCAAGCACTCTGAATGACTTTACCTACATCTTATGCAGACATTTTTAAAAAATCAGCTAAGTTCCCCTTCAAGTGCTCACATTTAAGTGCTCTCGCATATCAAAATCACAGTACACAGCAATATAATTGCAGTACAATATTTGGTCCCTATAAGGCCTGTCACAGTTATTACATAATTGCCTGATATTTTTTGAGATGAGTTGCAATTAGCAGTTATTTGAGATGTAGTTATGTAGGCATGTAGGACTACAATAATTGTCCTCTGTAATTACATTTCTGCAACAAAATATAGAATGCAAATTGGGTGTGTTGGGTTGAGGCAAATCGATGTCAAATCAAGTCAAGGTTTTTTATGTAGCGCTTTTTACAGCTGGTGTTGTTGCAAAGCAGCTTTACAGAAAAATGTACATGTAAATAAAAGAATCCATTCATTGAAACATCATGGGGCTTATGAAAACATGTTTAGAGGGAAACGCTGAGTATTGTTGTATTTGTTAGCTTTGTAGTTAATCCTTACATGTCTAGCTTGTTCTGCTAGCAGAGTAAGTTCTTTTTGCAAATACTTTCCCTCTCGTGTAGCTTTTCTTCACTCTACACATGATTCTGTAGACATTTGTGTGTGTATTTGGTTGCATGCGCAACAGTTGCAGTGTATCATTTCAACTGTAAAGCAGTATTAGCTGCTAATCAACCATACTTAGGAAGCAAGGTGGCTATTCAGCCGATTTGGCCACTTTAGGCTTGCATCTTTAATTCAGTGAACAAGGAGAGACAATTAAATCTTTAATCACAGTTATCGTGACGGCCCTAGTCCTTATAGCCTGCAGTGTTCATAAAGCCTGTAAACACTGGAGCCCTGGTGTTTGTTTCTTGTGGTAGACCTGAGCTACACTCATCCTTCTTTAGAAGAAGTCTTCATTCTGAGTGCTGAATGCTTCTGGTGAAGCCATGCTGCTTCATCAGTATC